AATTGATGAAGTAGTGAAACTTCATCAGTTGAGATGGCTGGGACACGTGTTACGTATGCCCGACCACCGACTACCTCGACGTGCGATGTTCAGTGGTATAGGAGTAGGTTGGAAGAAAGGTAGGGGCGGCCAGACCAAAACATGGCACAAATCCATGAAGTCACTGACAAGTGGACTGAGTCATGTTGGTAGGTGTAGACTACCTGGTTGGGGACAGCGAGATGATAGCAACCGATGGTTAGAGACCCTGAATGACATGGCTCAAAATCGTTTGCAATGGCGCAGGTGCATCCACTCTTTGTGTTCTCCCAAATTCTAATTATCTGAATTCTTCATGCCCCTTTTTTTCCTCTTTCCAAATTTATTTCACTGGATTGTACTCGTTAAATAACATCTCCAAACCCTAATCTTCCCGATTACTGCTTATACTCTTGCTACCTCTACCACTACGGGATTTGAATCGACCACTGCATCTCTGTGCTAATGTGGTATGGCAACTCGAACTGATGTACGTACGTACTAAGTTCTACGTTGTTACTGACTGACTTACTGACTGAGCATCTACGGTCTCACCTCACAAGATTGGAACCCAAGACCTATCAGTGTTGCGCACGAACGCTTAATCTTTAGACTATTGACCGTCCAGTGCTTCTAGGTTTTCCATGGTGGTCTAGCATCAATTGACTCATGAATTCAACTATTTTTTTATAGTTATGTTATGTTTAAATGAATTGAATTTTAAAAGTGGATTACTTACTTACTTACTTACTTAGGCCTGTTACTCCTAATGGAGCATAGGCCACCAACCAGCATTCTACAACTCACTCTGTCCTAGGCCTTCTTTTCTAGTTCCATCCAATTCTTGTTCATTTTTCTCATGTCTATCTCCACTTCTCGACGAAATATGTTCTTTGGTCTTTCTCTTCTCCTTTGGCCTTGTGGACTCCATGTGGGGGCTTGCCTTGTGATGCAGTTGGGTGCTTTCCCCAATGTGTGTCCTATCCACTTCCAGCGCTTCTTCCTGATTTCTTCGTCCACTGGGATCTGGTTTGTTCTTGCCCACAGTTGGTTGTTGCTAATAGTGTCTGGCTAACAGATCCGAAGTATTTTGCGTAGACAACTGTTAATAAACACTTGTATTTTCTGGATGATGGCTTTCGTAGTTTTTCAGGTTTCTGCCCCATACAGTAGAACTGTCTTGAAATTCGAATTGAAAATTCTGACCTTGGTGTTGGTTGAGAATTGTTTTGAGTTCCAGATGTCCTTCATTTGTAAATATGCTGCTCTTGCTTTACCGATTCGCGCTTTCACATCCACATCAGACCCAACATGTTCATCAATGATGCTGCCCAAATATGTAAAGGTTTTTACATCTTCCAAATCTTCTCCGTCAATTGTGACTGGAGTGGTGCATGCTGACCCATTTTAAAGAACTTTTCTAGCAAAGTGAATTTGAACCATAAATGATTGACAGGAAACAGTGAATCACCATTTCATGTTGCTTGTTAATAATTATCGAAGAATGTTTGAAATTTTGAAAGGACTAATATCCTCATGAGACTATAATCTACGTTAAACGGTGCTAGTCCAAAACCTTCTGTGTTATGCGTTTATGATTGACGTTTAGGATTAAAATATACACAATGATCATTTAAAGAATATCATGCGTTCCCAGTCTCTGGTAATGGTTGAATTCTACGCATCAGTTTGTAATTTGGCCTATATCTTAAGTGACTTGAGATCGTGTGTACCATACTTTTGAGCAAGGTTGTTGACGATAATTCATATGAACTATCGAGCTTCAACCTAGGTGATACTGATAAACGGTTTTACAAACATACTGTTAACGGATGGTTGACTTCACAGGTCATAGACGTTGAACACTCCATGACTTTTATCAATCTAAACTGTTTTAATAACCCGAAATCTAACTCCGGTTAAATCATCAAAATATACATACCAATAATCTTCGTATATAGTTATCAATTTAAACCACATTAGTGAATTACAGAATTAACTAAGTCAAATACGAGAATGATGTGTTGAGTATGTATATTTCATATAATCGTTGATTTGAACTGACAATCAGCAAAATGAAGCGAAGAAAGCAAAGAGGATAGAATGAAGCGAAATGAAATGACGCGAAGTAAAGGAAGTGAGTGAGTCAACTCAATTTGACCAAGGATAACTCAGAAATGAAGAAGATACGTGATGAATAGGGTAAGCAACTACCAGACATACGATCATATAACAACAGTCAAGGTTAATAAGTGACAAGGTCAAAAGTTGGCTTAAGAAGAATGAATAAATTGTCTGTCCATAGGCTTGAATAACCTATATGAATTTGACATAGTATCAGTCCCTACATTGTCTTAAAATTCAACAGGTCTATATGTTGAGTATAGATTGGCATCAGTTTTCATATCATTCCAAGCTAGAGAACAATGGGAAGCTACTTTTTACTCTATTATGATATCGCTCAGTTGTGTTTGTTCCTTACTCAACTGGAGTTTATACCCAGGATTTTCAGATTTCATATCAAGACCTTAACGTATTGAATAGTACCATCTATAAATTACACTAACTTTTGTATGAAAATATCATAGTAAACAGAAAGTTTAACAAAATGACTACAGAATAAACCCATATACATCCATATATTAGGTGTTAAACTTCACCATATAATCATAAACTTTATAAAGTAAAAACACATTACGTTGGAAATTGAGGGCAAACATCAAAAGAATAAATAGTACTTGAAAACAAGAACAGCATAACTTGGAGGCTCTTGATCTGAACTCTGTGTTCTATGAAGGGTAACAGGCATTGGAATTATTAAAAAAACACAATCATAGCAGATTATTATAGTATGATTTATTTGTTTGGAATCTCTACAGTAATCAACTAAAGGGAATCTACTAAATAAGTCAGTCCACATTATTCTACCATACTCATGAATTAATCAAGGTTAGACTACCTTTGAAAACTTATAAACACTGAGTGGTCATTTCATCCTAGTTTTCGATCCCAACGATAAACATTTTACGACTCCGTACGCGGGAATCGAGCACAATATGTTCAGTGTTAGGCACGGACAACTAACTTGTAGATCACTAAGTCGGCATCCAATAGTGTCATTATTCAAATATATAATTATGAAGTGGTGCATAGTAGGTTCAATGAATTTCTAAACAGTGAACCAGCTTTTATTGGATCAATATGCTATGACATTCAAAAGCATATTCAATACATCCATGACGCGCGTTTCTTCTTATTTGGGACTCGAACCTAGTACCATTCGTTTCAAACGCCATCGCGTCATCCACTCAGCTACTGAATCCTGATAGCCACTTGCTTGTGCAATAGGGTGAATTTGAATTCACTTGGTACATCCAGTTTCATCCAGCTGAAGAGTCCCAAATAGGACGAAACGTGGGTCCTGGATTCCACTGCTAGCCACTATCCACCTTTGCTTATTATGAATAACACTCATCAGTGTTATAACTTGTTGGCTTTTTGCCCCTATTAATATATAAACGTAATGATACTGCCAATTAATAAAACCGTGATTTATCAACGAGACTAATGACGCATTAAACCCTCACGAGCAGTCTAGAGTCCTTGTCGGTCACTCTTTCAACCTGTTGCGTCTAGAACACCAATCTCAGCCTCTGCGATGTGAATCATGTGTTTCAAACATACTGAGTTTATGTACCAACCACACAGACAACATCGTACGATAAAGTAGGAAACAACATTTGAACAAGACTTAGCCAAATGTGGCTGTGAATGTTGGAGGTAGCAATTGATAGACAGGGCATTATTCAAGAATAGTAAATCGTATAATAATAGTTCATAGGTCAAAATAAAGTTTGTAATAAGAGGAACATGAATATAAATAGTTTAGTTACTTAATAATTATACAATAAAAATATACGTATAGTATTAGTCAGTAAATAGATCCAAATAGTTGCCATCCATTATTCTCATCGGGATATAACAATCAGCAATTTCTAGTCAGTACCATTAAAAAAAACAAAAATACTTTGGTTACATTCTTAAGTAACTAGTAGAATTATTGGATTTTTAATCATTTTAGAAATCATACTAACAATTCTGAGAATTCGTATAGATACACAACATTGGTAAACTATCATTCTCTTATGATATTTGTGCTAAGAGGCCTTAATTACCATCAGTGTTAATCTATCATAGACCTCTGTACTTCAAATAACTTAGTAATGTTGTTTGCATTCTCTGAGCTGGATTATCTAATCATGAATTAATCATTGTTTTTTTAAACAGAATCATTAGCTATGAATGGGACCAGAACTAAAACAGCAATTAAGATTCCAATACTAATGATTGATAGTTTTCTTTGTTGATAGTGCATTCGAATGATTATCGTTAACAATTATTCTGTCATTCATTATCTGTCTACTTATTTCTTCATCTTAAAATAATGGGGATCACAAATCATCTCTAATAACAAAATTTTATTACTAGTATAGGGATTGCGGAGATTATTAGGTTTTTAATTGAGATCATGAACCCCTATACTATTAATTAACATGTGCTCACTAGTGACTAGCTTTGTGAGGGAATTCTCGAAGTTCTAGTGAGAAGCTGTGACCAGTGGAGCTAATGCATGTCGGGTAGAGACAGGTATCTAACTCAAAACAATGGAAGATGGTCACGCAATTTCGTGGATTGGTTGAAGTTAGACGCTATTACCATTGGATGCCGGCTCAGTGTTCCAGTAGGTTAAGCGTTTATGCGCGATACCGAAGGTCCTGGGTTCGAATCCCACGAGTGGGATCGTGGATGCTCAATGCTGAGGAGTCCCACAATAGGAAGAAACGGCCATTCAGTGCTTCCAGGTTCCCAACGGCGGTTCATGATCTCAATCAAAAACAGAACTTAAGTTGTTTCACTCTTCAAAGAATCCACCTCATTGTTTAATATATTTGTTAACTGGTTTGTTTTTGATTTTTCTTCAGCAGGAAATTCTTCTGGCACATTTAATGGTCATCAATCGTTGGGTAGAAATCTTAACAGACCGAAAAGTGAGTTATTTGATTTGATTACCAGGATTAAACACTACAATTGAAATTGCGAAACCAAATTAAATATTAATGAATTTTCTATTCATAAGGATTTGGTAATATTGAGTGATTAATAAAATTTTGTCTATATTGAAATATGCTATGATGAATCACCATAACATTTGACAGTTTGAAACGTGAAGTTTATTTTGTGTTATTTGAGCTACTTAAAATGAAATCAGTAGTTAATTTGAATTAACTAAACTTTTATGTTGGGTGTTTTACAAATTCCTAGGCTTATCTCACAATTAATCTCTCTTAGGCAATCTCACATATTTTTTATTCCTTGTCGCTTTTGATCTGACTTTCCATTAAATTAGAAACGACAATTTTTAAATTGGCAAAATTTCAAAGTGTCTCCGGTTGAATCATTTTGCATAAATTGGTACTTGATTTTTTACGTAATAGGCACATACGTGTAGATTGTTAATAGACTCACTATCAGGCAGTACATAATTGGTTTATACCAAGTAAGTAATCAGAAAAACAAAAAGAAACTTATAAGATTACCACTGATCGCCGCACTTTGAAAACTTATGGGGGTAATATTAAAATCAATCAAGTTTTCACTAGATGAATAAAGAAAGAATATGCTGTGTTGAATCCTATATTTCTATGAAACCTTACCAAAAAATATTGTTGATAGATTCAATGTTGTTTTAGGTATTTTCAAGGCTTTCAAAGAATATTTTTCCACAAATTGTAGATCTAATAGTTCAACTTATGAGTCGATTAAAGCTAGATCATTATGGAAAACCTGGAAGTACTGGATGACCGTTTCGTCCTAGTATGGGACACCTCAGTAGTGCGCATTCACGATCCCGCCCTACGAGATCCGAACCTAGAAGTTATCAGTCTCGCGCGCGAACTTCTAACTTTTAGACCACTAACTCGGTATCCAACGTCCATGGTGGCACATTAAATTATTATAATATTCACAAAATCCTCTTTCTGATGAAAATTGTAGATTCCTCGTAATGTAAACATATAAAACCCATGATTGTTCATTATTGTAAAATTAGAATAATTTAAAACTTTGTTTATTCAAGTTGTGTGTGTATTTTGTTACTTATTACCGAAGTGTATAATTTAATAATAATATTCTAGTAAACGAGAACAAAAGCGGAGACAATCGAATGTATTTGAATAAAAAATTACAGAATGTCTTAGTAAAGTCTGAGAACCATACTGTAAATATAAGTAAAGATGGGTAGTGACTAGCAGTTGAATCGAAGACGCACGTTTAGTCCTATTCGGGACTTGTCAGCTGGATGTAAATGCATCCCAGAGTTGACGTTCACCTCAGTTGATGGGTCGCAAATAAGACGAAACGCGAGTCCTAGATTTCACTGCTAGCTACTACCCATCTTTATTTATAATCGTTGTGAATTAGTGCAATATCAAGGGATTATGCACACTATGCCCATATGCCAAAAAGAGACTGATCAATTGCAGTCCTAAACATCAATAGGAAGATATAAGCAAACAATACAAAGTGGATTCATAAAGTAAATACTTAGTTTGCAAAATATCAATCCATTGTCTTAAACTTGACTGTTTCTTTTGCAAATATCAGTCCATCGTCTCAGATTTCATTGTTCATACATTTTTATACCAAGTACCTTCTGTCCTCGTTCTTTCTTTATTGATCTTCTATTAAAATACATTCTATTCCTGATTAACGTCATATACTACTTTATGTGTATACAAATAGCTCAAGTATACTACTTAAATCTATCAATAACAGAAGTACATATCACTGACAAATTATTACTGTCAATAAATGATAAATAATTTGTCTTTAATAGGATGATTCTATTGATTCTCTTATTTTAATTATGTGAATAACATTATTAGATTCATTATCTTAATGTTCATTTACTCTTTTTGTGGTGGCCTGTTATTTAATCGTAATGTTGTCGAAAGGGCTCTTCACTTTAGTGGCCCAAGATCTGACTCCAAGGAGATCGTAATAATGATTATTGTTGAAATATATATGTCGCCTATCTTCGTTTATAATTATCGACTTGAATCATGTTAGTCAATAACGGATTTAGATAAGTCAAATAACGAGAATGAACTTATGAATACATCATATTTTGTATATAAAGCAAATGGAATAAAGAGAAGAGAAACGACATGCAGTGGAGATGGTGGATAAACCAACTCCCCTTTAGAGTGTTAAGTAAATAAATAACAAGGCCCAAATGTAACTCAAGTAGTATGAATCGATTGGGCTGTCCGAAAGCAAGAATAAAGTATATGGGCTTAACATAATAACCGATACTACACTCTGATTGTTATTTATCAACAATCATTTGATGAAATAAAAAGAACAGAAAAAAACAAAAAAGATAAACAATGAAAATATATCTCATATTAAATCAATTTATTTATGATTGATTAATGAATAATTTTCATAAAAGATACTTAAATAATGTAATAAATGATGAATTTCATTTGATGATAATTAAGGAATAAAATCGATTTTTAAAAAAATCAATAAAATGTATTCGTATATTGATTTTTTTTCTCTCTATTAAAATGTATTCTAAGGAAGTATGATGTTTTTCTATAAGTTTTCAGTAGTTGATATTGTTATAACCTGTGGATTTGTACCCTAATCAATATATATATAATGTTATGATATCGTCAAATAGAGAATAATGATTTATCGATCGGACTAATGACGTATTAAACCTATATGAGTAGTCTAGAATTTTTATCAGTCCTGTTTCCTGCTCAGTCTTGCCTGCCTGACTGTCTGCCTGTTGATTTTAGAACATCAATCTTAGCCACTATGATATCAATCATGTATTTCAAATGTACTGGGTTTAAATACATTAGCCAAACGGATCACACATTTGTACATGATTTAGCCTTAAATGGCTGTGAATGTAAGAGTCTCTAATGGATAGATTGGACGTAACTCAAGAATGGTAAATCTTATAATAATAACAATAATCTATGGGTCAATATAAAGCTTATAATAAGAGGAATATGAATATGCATAATTTAGTTACTGAATAGTTATACAATAGGAATATATGTATCGTATTGGTACATAAATAGTTCTCAAAAGTTACCATTCATCATTTTCATCGGGATATAACAAATTAAAAATAATTCGATTGATAAATTCTAAATGAAATGAGAGATCATCATCTATAATATTTAGTTACCAAGTTCTAAAGTGAATTATTTGAATGTAGTTACCATGACACCTCAAAATCGTTTTACAGATTAGATGGATCATTTTGTTGTTGATCAGTTCCATAATCTAAAGGATTTAATTTGAGAAACCTTAATTATCTTCTTGGACAATTAAACATGTCAAGCCCCGGCTTATATCCAGTCAAAGCGAATTACTGGTACTAAACGGTTACTGATTATTGATCAGTGTTTAGTTCTTAGTGGTGATGGTATTCAACAGATGAAGTTGTAATGTGGCCAATATATTGAAGTGACATGATGTTGTACTGTATTAAATTCATTATTTGATAGATTGTAGATAAGCTATGGTAAGTCTTGGAAGTAGATTTACAAATGTTTGACATTACTCATTGAAGTAAATCTTCTATCTTGACGGGATCAACACAGAATTTATGTTAAAGTGGTTAGAGTATTTGTCTACAAAGTCAGTTACAGATATCTAAAGGCACTTGTGATTCATTCATACTATCTTTTTACCTAAGTTACAAATGGAAAAAACGAACGTTCTGTGATTATGCTTTAGCCACATTCAGCTGTCAAGTTGGAACCAGTCAATGATTCTTACTTACATCTATGGAGTTAGATTATAAAAGAAATTATTGGTCATTGTCTAATGAAATTTTAATTATATCAATAAATAGGCCCCTAAATGCCCTCGTACGGACGAGAGTGAGGAGAGCTATTTCTCCCTCCCGAAATGCTCTCACATGGCCACGTGCATTTAACCACTAACAGGGAAGTACTACTTACTGAACTCTCGCGACATTACTGTTGTTTACCAAATTAAGAGGACGAAAAGCGAATGTCCAGCTCCTGAACCGGGTTGGAAGGTATGGAGAATCCACTGAAGGGAGTTGAAAAACCTTGATTCCAAACCAATAATGCACATGGGTTCTCGTATCCTGAAGGAACAAATGGCTTACGAACCATTTGTTGGTCATCGATTACCACGGGGCTACATCTGCTGACGTTGTTCTGTTGTCTTGTGGATTAGACCTTAAGGTCAAAGGCTCAGGGTGTGTCGCCCTAAGAAAACCACCTGCTTCGGTTTGGGCACCCGTGAAGTACACCGGCCCTCACACAAATTGAATGATTTATGTGGTGCATATCTATTTGGTGCCTCTTTGTACCAATATTTATGTGTTTAAGTAAATAAATAAATAAATCAAATTGACACAGAATTATTTCTGTTTTTCATAGAGCAATTATTCATTTTAACAACTGAATCCATCAGTCAGTCTTAGTTAGACCATCATTTGAAACTTGGAAGCACTACACAGCTGTTTCATCTTAGTGCTCACTAGATGGATTTCTCGGAGTTCTACTGAAAAGCTGTCACCAGTAGAGTCAAATCCGTGTTCAGTAGAGACAGTTATCCACTTCAGATAATTAATGAACGGTTGCGCAAGATCATGGATCGATTAAAGTGAGACATCAACATCGTCAAATGTTGGTTCAGTAGTCTAGATGTTAAGCGTTCATGCGCAAGATTGTCATTCCATTTTATTTGTGTGTGGGTTGTGATACTGCCCGGGTGCCCAGATCGAAGTAGGTGGTTTTTTCAAGAGGGGCCACACCCCAAGCCTATGACCCAAAGGTCTGATCCACAAGTCAGTGGAACATCGTGAGAAGATGCAATCCCATAGTAGCTGGTGACCAACATTTTGTTCATACACCATTTGTTCCTTCAGGATACTGGAGTCCATGTTGACCATTGGTTTGGAATCAGGATTTTCCAACTGCTCCTA